GGGGGGGGGACCAACTTGGTAAGTTGTTGCCTGGGGGCTTGCCTAGTTGTCACGAGGTGCCACGTGTTGCAATTTCACTGGAGGGCCAAATCTGCCCTCATCAAACCTTTAGTTGCAGGCAGCATTTGATCCTTCTAATAGCATGTTTGCGGTGAAGCAGGAACAGTTTACGGCGTTTATTAAGGTGTATGGTCTGATGCAGTGCACCAGAGATTTATCAAAGAATGACTGTTACGAATGCTTACAGGCCGCCGTGAAACATTATGAAAGATGCTGCTATTTTAGTCGAGGAGCAAAAGTTTTAAGGTTCAGTTGTTTTCTTATGATTGAATTATACCCTTTTTATCAAGAATCAGGTGCAATACAGTCTCCTCCTTTGGCAAACCGCACTTCAGACTCAGAGGGTATGTATGGTTTCAATTTTCAATTTTTTTATGCTTATTCGTGATAATAAATTTGAAAATGTCTCCAAATTAATCCATTATGCAAACTGCAGGATTTTGCCAATCAAGGCACACATTAAACTAACAAACAAACAAATAAATAAATAAATCTAGCTTGTGACTAGGCTCCCTTCTCTAAGGGACTATATGTATATGGAGAACTAGCAAAAGGATTTAAACCTAATAGTAAGGGGGTGTTCCTAATGTGAAAGTTTTTATTTTCTAAAACAAAAAGTGCCATGTCACAAAAAAACAATACATTTATGCTGATGTGGCAATTGTTTCTGTTTCAGAAACCAACGCCTGAGTTCGGCTTCCATCAGGGCAGCACTCATTTAAGCAGCCTTTACAGTCTTACATTGAGAATATCTCCCTATTCATGTGCTTTATTTTATGGGGAGATATTCCCAATGCAAGATTGCAAGATTGCGAGAGGCTATTGGGACAATGTGAGCACAGGCTTAGCCAACACCCCCTACTTCAATGAAAGAACCCATTCCTAAGTGCTAAAGCTTATAAGTCCTGCCATATAAAAAGTTGGTCCTAAATAAGTAAAATAGACGTCTAGTTATATGATGATGACGATGATAAGGTGAAAAAATAAAAGGAAAGGGAGTTCTGTGGGCATTTTCTTTCTAAAGTCTTCTTCCACTTTTTCTTTTTCTAATTCATCTAGAAGCCATCTTATTTGGACAATTCATGCACCTAGTAGTTGATGAAAAGGTTAGGTGCGGCATCCTTCTCATTATCAATCAACTCTGTTATCATTATTCATCATAAGCAAGGTTCAAAATCTTGATGCAGGGGCGAATCGGCCTGTATCTTGGCTTGCTTCCCCCTTTTTTTTTTTTTTACTGGTTCAGAGGGTCCCCTCTACCCCCTGTAGGGGCATATCGGGAAGTCTCCGATACGATGCATGTCATCCAATACGCCCCGATACGTTGCGATTTTCTGATCCTTGATCGATAAATGTTTTGGGTGCATTGCAGTTTTTGAGTACTGATCAGATATCTTGCCTTAATAAAAGAAATTGGGTGTTCTCAAATCAGCTCCATGGAAGAAAAAAAAAACAGATGTGTAGGGTAAAACGGTTATTGCCATCAATTTGCAAGTTAACAGCTCCCTTAACAATTTAACATCCTTCAACCAGGACTTTATACTAGTGACCTGTGAAACTACAGCCTCTCGGTGTCACTTCAGAAAAGGAGATGTTGGATCAAACCTGTGAAACTACAGCCTCTCCACTGATATGACCAAGTGGTCTGTACTCTTCTCTGTTCCTTCCCTAATTCCCCAATAAGAAACAGGGCTTAACAAAGCACTTTGGTGGATGGCTTTTATAAGTTTTTTATGTTTAAAATGCAGAAGGATGGAAAATGATACCTGTATAAAAGGATTCATTGAGAATATCGGTTAAAAGTTACAAATGATACCTCTATCCAATTGACTGATGAGAGATCACAAATTTAAGTCCAAAACCCTCATATAAATCCTAGTTTTGTGGCTCACATCCAGCTCAATGAAAGCAGGACATTAACCCATGAGCTTGGAAAACTAATATCAGAGGCAGTTGAGATCAGTATCCCGTTCAATGTTTAGCAATGTGACTATTGCCAACAGAAATTCTGGAAAGGATCAAAGGACATCAGTCCAAGTATAGGTGTTAAGTATCTAATATCCCATCAATAATGTTGCAAAAGTTGAAGCTAACATCAAGACCAACATTAACTTTTTATGGATTGTCCTCAAGAGTTATCAGCATCTTTGAATCTTTTGACTATCTGATCTATAGAGAGTATCTTTAGGGTCTAGTATAAATTTTTAATGTCCAAAAGAAATTAAGCTACTTGGTTTAAGACATTATTACATGGAATTTGGAATAGGTGGATTCTATAAGATAAGCAGTCTTGATCTATATGTATTAGTCTAGGGGCAGAACTTGAGTTGAAAGCCTACTATTTGAGCTTCAATACATGGTTTTTATCTTACAGTGAGATGCCTTTTATTTTGTTCATGAACGTGTACGTACTATGCATCTGTTAAATTCACAAATAAATTATAGTCAGTTATCTTCAACTAGAACATAAATAAATAAGCAAATAAAAAATGTCATTATGCACCATGTGCTGTAGCAGATGAAGTGACCGGGAGAGTAAATATTTCTAAACGCAGGGGATGGAAGTAAGCGAACAAAAGTTGTTGTGGCTAGTGTACTGGCAAGTTTATTGCTACCAGTCTTCGTCTCATGTTCATGCTACATCTGGAGAAGAAAAGGAAAAAATAAAGGTAAGAACTTTCGATAGGCATTTTAAAACTAGTAAATCTGCTACTTATACATGTTCTCTTTTGTAGAGAGAAAGGAAAAGAGGCAGCATACTGTATTGCTTGATTTGGAGGCAAGAAGTAGTACAAACCTCTCATGCAGAAATATGCAAACGGGAAAACAAGTTAATTCTCAAGAGTTGCCGTTGATCGACTTAGCTACTCTACAAATTGCTACAAGTAACTTCTCTTTGGAGAATAAACTTGGAGAGGGTGGATTTGGTCCTGTTTACAAGGTATTGATTTTGATTAGTTCAACACTCAAAATGTTTGATTACCTTTCTTAATTAACCATATTGATGTTTTATTAGGGTGTATTGCCAAATGGAAAGAAAATTACTGTAAAAAGACTTTCAAGAGGCTCAGTGCAAGGTTCAGAAGAATTCAAGAGCGAGGTTAACTTAATTGCAATACTTCAACACAGAAATCTGGTAAGGCTCCTGGGCTGTTGCATAGAGAGAGAAGAAAAGATGCTTATCTATGAATTCATGCCAAATAGCAGCCTCAATGTCTTTCTCTTTGGTATGTAATCTTGACTTCATTTTTATCTATACAACTCCATGAATTCTCCTGTTAAGTCTAAGTCTACTTGCATTTCTGAACCTGTATAATAAAGAGTAATTCTTTGCCTACTCAGATCGACAAAGAAATGCTCAGTTGGATTGGAGCAGGCGCTTCAGTATTATTAATGGAATTGCAAGAGGTCTTTTATATCTTCACGAGGATTCTCGACTCATAATCGTTCATAGGGACTTGAAAGCTAGCAATGTTTTATTGGATGAGGAAATGAATCCAAAGATATCTGACTTTGGCATGGCTAGGATCTTTGCTGGCAACCAAAATCAAGATAAAACCAGTAGAGTCGTGGGGACATTATAAGATCTTTCTTTATTTTCTGTTTCTTTTTCTTACTCTTGTTCTTGCATGTAGCTACACAAAATGTACTTAATGTTGATTTGATATATATAGTGGGTACATGGCTCCAGAGTATGCTATGGCAGGGTTATTTTCAGTGAAGTCAGATGTTTTTAGCTTTGGGGTTCTTCTACTAGAGATCATAAGTGGTAAAAGGAACAATGGACTACAATTACCTGAGCTTTCTCAAAGCCTCCTCGCATATGTAGGCTTCTCTAGTGATTGATCCTTGTCACAATTTAATTTAATTTGTTCCATATTCCTTGTATATTCTAAAATATGACTATATCAAACAAAATTGCAGGCATGGAGACTATGGTCTGAAGGAAAAGGCTTGGATTTGTTAAATCCTTCGATAATTGATTCATGCCCAACAAGTCAAGGGTTGAGATGCATCCACATTGGGTTACTGTGTGTTCAGGAAGCAGCTGCAGAGAGACCCACAATGTCGAATGTTGTGGTCCTGCTGAGTAGTGAATTCATAGCTCTTCCTCAACCCAAGCAGCCAGCATTTTTAGTTGAACGTCTTGTTATTAATTCAGATCAATCTTCATCCGGTAATAATGTTGGATCTGTCAACGACATAACCATTTCAAATGTTGTACCTAGATAATCATGAAATCCACATTCACATTTATTATATCATGTTCAGAATTTTTCCTTTTTGCCTTCTACCATTCTTGGGTAAAACAATAGTATCAAGCCACAAGGTGAAATAAGCAACAACTGCGCGAAACAGAAAAATCATCCATTTCTTAACACAGAATGCTTATGAAAAGAAAATTGCATCCTCTGTCTATAGAAACACTTTTCCATGAGACGACATGTTGTAAGTCCTTGCAGTATTTGGTTGAATGCTCTTATTTTGTTCTTTACTAGTCATGCTCCGTAGCTCTTGCAGTGAGAAGCCTGTCCACCCTGAATGCTCTTCAAACAAACGAAGCCAACGACATGCTAATGAGATGTTCTAATACCATGTGGGTAATTTATTACTCACTGGGCTTAAGCCCAAATTAGTCTATAGGATCAACGCAACCATGTGCCCTAAGTACTGATGCAGTGTTGCTAAGGCAAGAGAATGAGTGATCATCAATCCCCACTTTTGGCTGAATTATCTTTCTCAAGTAATCGCTGGCAATGCACCCATAGGCACAACTTCCAGTTTATTTTCTCGATTCTTCAAAATTAGTCTTTACCACACCTATATCCAAGCCCACTTCTTTTCCATTTGTATTCCACAGCAGGAGCTTCCCATTCAAAGGTGATGGAGGACGATTTGGCCCGACCCACGAAATGGCGACGTGGACATTGATACAGCATAAGCGACAGCTCAACATTGTGGCCCAGTACAACCAAGTAACGGGCCCATAAGGTAGCTTGCTACATCGTAGCACGCAAAAGGAGGAGCTCGCCACAACGCGAGCTTCGGGTTCCCCGAGCTACCTCTAAAGGGATATTCCGGGGCAACTTTAGCTCACGAGCAAAGAAAACCAGCTCGCCCGAGCTCCCAAGTAGACAAGTCATCCCGATGACCAATTCTACTAAGGGTACTCTTGAAGTATTCCAAGCTCGCAGTAAAGTAGCTCGCGAATGGGTCGCACGAGCATTCCTCAGGAAACTTCTATCTGATAGGCCATACCGATCAGACTGCACCACGTCCCTTACTGATGGCACAGTCCCTGTCCTTTTGACAGTCTGCACCCACGTCTCTCAGGAGGCGGGGGCGTGCCTATCAGTTTGGAGACGTGTCACTCTCCCAGGCGAGGAGTACGTCACAACGGCCACCTACGCAGCCCTGGCAGGTAACGGCTGTGGCAGGGGCCCAATGGCGGTTATGCTCGACCTAACAAGAATGCCCCTATAAAAGCTCTCAGGACAGAAGAGAAACTTCTTCTTGAGACCTCTAATCTCTCGAGTATAGTGATAAAGCGCGACTTACACTCTTAGCTACCGACTCTTCTTTTCCTTCTTTCTTGCGTTCTAATCTCTAACTTTCCATCTTCTCAGGTGCCGTCCGTTGCCAACAAGGAGCCAGTCAACAACCAGTTAGGAGTGCCCGGATCGTGCCGCATCATTTGGTGCCGTCTGTGGGAACCGCTTCTAAAAGCCTTCCTCTAAACCTTCATAGTTTTTTCTTCTTTGGAAACTCAACACTCATGGCTCAAGCAATGCCGGACGTAGCATGGAGATGGATAACGCCAGGGAACAACCCCAGGTTCCCACAGTCTGCATTGGGCAGTTCACCGTTCCCCTCTCGGTGGACGGAGTCCCCAGCCTGAACATGCCGCGAGCAACGGCGCCTGTGGGTGTTCCCCTTCCTCCCTCTATTGAAACGACCATTGCTGAACCGACTGTCATCCCTCTGGCGACCAGCTAGAAACAACTCGACGATTTGATGCAGTGCATGCGAGCCATGCAAGCCCAAGTGCAGTAGCTCTAGCAACACCAGCTTTACTAGCAACAAGTGTTGCACCACGTCTCCCAGTACTACTACCAGCAGCAATTCCCTCAACTGCCTCAACCTCAGCATTAGCAGCCACAGCTCCCTCCTCGGCACCCAGCCTCATAGTGAGCTAGGTCTCGTTGCTAGGACGAATGCCCTTCTCGCCAAGGAGAAGCCTCCCAAAACCCTCCTAAGAGCCAGGCCTCCTCCCGCGGTAGACAAGAAAGACCGGCCACCCCGGTCTCGCCGTGGGCAGTCAGGTCGGGAGGACCCCAGCTCGCCAGGTCTGCATCACCTTGACAGTCGAAGTTTGAAACCCCACTCCTGGAGAACTGGTTCGAGATCCTGGCTGGTGACTCCAAGCAGGATCCCTCTGTCCGCAGCCATCATCAGCGGCCCGAGCTACTTCCTACATAAACAATTCCTGACAGCACGGAAGTGAGCAGCACAAATGCGGAGCCCGCCAAGAAGAAGAGACGCTGCCACTGAGCTCGCCGATCTACTACCCACAACCTGCCCGAGCTTAGAGGTAGAGAAGAGGTAAGCTCGGGCGAAGCTAAGGCTCCCCTCCTTTCAGTTCCATCCCCCTGTCTCCCGAGCTCCTTGTAGTTCCAATGCCTAAAGACTTCAAGCTCCCCCCAAATGACCATGTAGACGCCTTCTAGTCACAAATGCACTTGGCGAGAGCCAATGAGTCTTGCATGTGCGTGGCCTTCTCCACCACTTTCAGAGGAGTATCCCGCACATGGTACCGAAACCTGGCACCCAGGTCGATAAGAAGTTGGGTGCAGTTCGTGCAAGCCTTCACGTCCCATTTCGTCACCAGCAAGCGGTGTCCGCAAATTGAGGAAAGCCTTCTCAGCATAGTCCAGAGAGAGGGAGAGTCCATCTGGGCTATATCAAGCGGTTCAACGATGTGTGCATGCAGATACCGCGCCTGGACCTCGCCGTGCGCCTCGCAGCAGCCAAGAAAGGCGTGACGCATAAAGAGTTCAAATGGCACATGGTTGTCAACCAACCAACGACCATAACTGAATTCCTCAAGCTTGCAGACAGGTTCATAGCCACGAAAGAAGAGATTAACCAGAAGGGCGAGAGCACGCCTGAGAAAAGAAAAAGAGAAGGGGAACCTTCCAACCGAGGAGACAGCCGAAAGAAGAAGGACGTAGATCAGGGGGCAAAGCCAGGTCAGCCGTTCCGAGCTCCTGTAGTGGACCGAACTGGTTACACCCCATTGAATGCGAAGCGGGCCGAAATCCTGATGGCAATCAAGGACGCCCCATACGTGAAGTGGCCACCCTGCCTGAGGGGGAATCCCAATGAAAGAAACAAGAACTTGTACTGTAGTTTTCATAGAGATCACGGTCACAGTACCGAAAATTGTAAGAACCTCCGCGATGAGAAAGAGGTGCTCATCCGTCGCGGATATTTAAGGAATTTTGTACAAAATAATAATAATAAGCCAGGTTGGCAAGGGGAGCACGGTAAGGATGCTCCCGAGTTCAACAGCATGCCGGCCGAACAGTCGTAGAGGCAGCCTTGGGAAGAGAGGCCGGTTCGGGACACCATCCACGTGATAGTGGGAGGCTCAATCGTTGCGGGTTGTACCTCGGCAGCAGCTCGGACGTCAGTTTGCGAAGCCTCCAGGGAAGAACAAAATCCTTCGAAGCGGCCGAAGACAGAAGAACCAATCTTCTTCACGGAGGACGATGTGCGAGGGGTCCATTACCCCCACGACGATGCGCTTGTCATAAAGCTAAGGATCAACGACTTCGAGGTCAGGCGCGTCCTCGTTGACTCAGGTAGCTCGGCAGATATTCTCTTCAAAGCCGCGTTCGACCAGCTTCAGTTGCAAGGAAGCGACTTGAGGCCCGCGAACACTCCTTTGGTGGGCTTCAACGGAGAAGAGGTCAGGCCCCTTGGGGAAGTAAGAGTACTTGTGGAAGTCGGCACATGGCCCTGTGTAGTCAGACTCAACTACGACTTCATGGTGGTCGCGACCCCCTCCCCATACAACGCCATAATAGGTCAGCCGATCACCCATGTCCTACGGGCGGTGGTCTCCACTAATCATTTGGCAATGAAGTTCCCTACAAACTTCAGTGTGGGGGTAGCGCGGGGCAACCAGCTCGAGTCCCGTAAGTGCTATGTCGCTGCCCTAAAGGGAAAGACCAAGGTGGCCGACGACCTCGAATTGGAGCGTCCTACAGAGCAAGGCGAAGAACGAGCTGCACCCATGGAAGAAACAGTCGTTGTTCCGACTTCAGTAGCGGACCCAGCTCGAACGCTTCAGATCGGTGCTTTCATCTGGGAACCTCTATGATCCGAACTGGTAAGTTTCTTACTTCAAAACTTAGATATTTTTGCTTGGTTCACGGCAGAGATGCCTGGTATACACCCTGACCTTATAACTCACAAACTCAATACTGATCCTGTAGTTAGGTCCGTTAGACAGAAGAAACGCAACCTAGCCCCAGAGCGGTGGAAAGTGGTCGATGAGGAGGTCGCGAAGCTCCTCGCAGCTGACTTCGTAAGAGAAGTCCATTACCCGAGCTGGGTAGCCAACCCCGTTCTGGTGAAGAAGGCTAACGACAAGTGGCACATGTGCGTCGATTACACCAACCTAAACCGAGCCTGCCCAAAAGACTGTTTCCCGCTCCCCAGAATCAACCGCTTGGTGGACGTGACCTCAGGGCACGAGTTGCTAAGTTTTTTAGACACCTATTCGGGCTATAACCAAATCAAGATGGATCCGACAGACGAAGAAAAGACCGCCTTCATCACAGAGTTCGATCTATACTGTTACAAGGTTATGTCCTTCGGGTTGAAAAACGCAGGGGCGACCTTTCAAAGGCTTGTAAGTAAATTGTTCGAGCCATTAATTGGCAGAAAAGTAGAATGTTATGTAGACGACATGGTCGTCAAAACCCAATTTTTGCATGAATTAATTCAAGACTTGCATTCTGTTTTTGAAATTTTGTGTAAGTTTAATATGAAGTTGAATCCAAACAAGTGTGTCTTTGGTGTTACCTCGGGTAAATTCCTAGGGTACATCATTAACCAACGCGACATTGAGGCCAACCCGGATAAGATTAAGGCCATCTTAGATTTGAGACCACCCCGAAAGTTGAAGGAGGTTCAGAGGTTGAATGGCCGCATAGCCGCCCTGA